GAAACTTTCAGAGTACTTTGATCATTTTATTTTATTGAAGATATTTTTTTTATATATTTTTCGCTAGAGTGAGCTTAAATACTAACTTGTTATTCTACAAAATTCAATTTCTTGGAATTTCACCCACCCCTACCTAATTTAGAATTTCGATCATTCGTAACACACACTTTCATCCTATTCTTAACACAAAGGCCCGGTTGTTGACTAGGAAAACATAAGAAAGTGATCTAGTTTCTTAGTTACCACATTTTCCCCTATTTGAGAACAAGAAAAAGTGTGAAAATACAGAGCCAAACAACTCTCCTTGATTTTCCACTTTTCCCCATTTTAGGGAAAACCGCAATGCAACCCAAGGGGTGTATTGCCGATTTCTCAAGAAAATGGGAAAACACAAAACCTCCCCGAGCTTCCTCTGGTTTTCACAGACATGTTACCAAACAAGATTCTCAGCTTCCCGCCAGAGTTTTCTACTTCTACTTTTTTCTCAGGCTTCTAGTTTCTTATAGATTCTCCAGAAAGACAACGTTCTCAATTACCAAACATACCCTAAGTCATTCTCCTGAAAATGTATCGAGCAAAAGATAGCATAAGGGCCATTGTAATAATAAACGGAGAAAATATTACAAAGGGTTTTATTAAAAGTAGGGGTGGCAATGGACCCAAATCAGACCCGAGACCCACCGGGTATACCCAACACGGATCCAGGTATGTGTCCAACATTTGCACCCAACAGAGCAGGTCTAGGCCCAAGTTTTACCCAAATACTATTCAAGTCTGGGTCCGGTTGGACCCGACCCATACCCGTAAACTGTTTGAGATAAAATACTTCAAAGCCTATTCATTTGGATCGTATACAATAAGAACTCTTAGTCATCTTTATCTATTAAATGTCAAATCAAACGGTTTGAAATCTAATGGTAGGTGATTATGACTTTATTGCCAATAATATGGGTATATGATGATAAAAAAAAAAGGCAAAAAAAAAAACTCATAGTGAGGGTGGCAATGGACTCAACCAAATCCGGAACCTGACTGGTACGAGTATAGGTCCAAGTTTTGGACCCGGCGGGTAGGGTCCAAGTCCAAAACTTAGACCTGAATGCTATTTGGATACGAGTCCAGATCCAACCAAACCCGACCCATACCCAACCCGTTGCCACTCCTAATTAAAAAGGGTCAGAAGATTACAACTTTCATTTAAAGGTATGCTTTAAAATTTGTATGCTAATCAAATACTTGCTCTAAATCAATTTTGAAAAATTTTCAAATTGCCCTTATTCAACAGTGGGAAAGCTAAAGAATAAAGGTTATTTTTGGTAATTTTACCTTGTTTCATTAGAATTAGGTGCGATTTTAATGAAAAAAACAAAATTACCACAATACCTCTTATCGTTCAGGTTTCCCATTGCTGAACAAAGCAATTTGATAATTTTTCGAAGTTGATTTTGAGGAAGTATTTGATTGATTTAGAACTTTGAGAGCATACCCTTAAATGAAAGTTGTAATCTTTTTTACCACTTTTATGCCATTACAAGGGGTTTCAACCCGTTCTTTCATATTTTCCCTAGTAATAAAGATCAGAGCCACAAGATCAAATAACTTTCTTTTAATTTAGGATTGTTTTTATCCCAAGATGGAGGTGTTCTTCCTTTTCTTTTCTTTTTTTCTTTTTTTATTTTTTTCTTTTTAATGTTAACTTATGACTTTTCATTAAAAAAACAAATATATGCATGAGAATGTCCAAAAATCACTATCCAGCAATAATAATTCCAAAAACTCGGAAACTCAAAATCTAACAACAGACAAAATTTTGGGTACACACACCATTGGCCTCTTAAAAAGTACCACTATTGCCAAGACCCAGGGGACTTCGCACCATCTAATAACGTTTAATGAGTCCCCTTCTACAAGAAAGTTTCTTTGGCTGAGAAGGCACTACAACAGCTCCTTAAGTTCAGTTCAGCCGCATTCGCGTAGCTACCCCACATGGACCTGAAAGACAACAGAAGAGCCCTATTGTGATCTTTAACTATGCCCCAAACACCAGCAGGGCCTGGATTACTGGAAGAACACCCGTCAAAGTTTAGCTTGATGGAATCTCGAGTGGTGCAAACCATTTTGCACATCTCTTCGACCTCTTCTTTGAGGTTACATTATATATCTGATCTTGAAATCCCCAAGCATACTTTGACCACCCGAAACCCATTCCACATATCAGACCAAATTTTTCCTTCGATGTCCAGCAGATTAGAGATTGTTCCTTTAAATCTTCCATGGTTCATTTCCAAGCATAGTAGCCACAAAATAACAAGTATTAAGCAGTTATGTAACAGATATAGGAATAGCCCAACGTACGTCGGCCATAAAAAAAGAGCTACCCAGCCAGCAAGTGGATCACAATATAATATTCAATATTCTCCTCTTCAATTCATGCAGATCAAACATATATTAGTTGTTATCATACCCCTCCTCAAGCTATCAATAGTACTTTCCCCACATAGGAACCCCTAGAAAAGCCTGGACTTTGTATCGAGCCGGGATTTTCCAAATATGAATTCATGGTAATAAGCTGATTTCAGGGTGAACAGGCCATCTGTGGTGCACCCAAATTAATTCGTCCTCAAAAAGGGCATGCAAATATACACCTTGGAGGTTAGTCAACAAACTCGTGATATTTGCATAATCCATTGATCACTCATTCTTGGGTATCTACAAATAATTTATCTCTCTCCCAAGATGGATGTGTTATACCGGTGCTAAAAAGAGGCGTGACCGTGATTCATTTTGTAATCTCATGATGAGTACATGCTCAATGTCACGAATCCATGACATCACCATTCACAGGTTCAAGGACTACCCATGTACCAAGCACTTTACATTACATGAAAAGTACAACTTAAAGATGAAAATGGTAATCACTTTATCTACATTTTTACAATTTTATTTGGCTGCATATGAATATGTTGGCATTATCTGTCCATCCACTCAAACAGAATCCATGGCTTTAAAAAATTATAGTTTTGGCTAAAATCAATATGTCTGGATCCATGACTAAACGAGTTCAATGAATATCATAAATTTTTGGCGACGCAGGTATTTTTTGGGTAAATTCAGCTGTACAGATCATTAAAAGAAAATATCCATCAAATAACCAAAGAAAAAGAAAAAATAACATGGAAAACAACCGAAGAGCATATGATTTACAACACTTTACGAACTTTCCAAGTGACCACAATTGGTTTGGATGTTTACATGGAGAGGGATATCATAAGCAGTGTGAGACACGAAACATATATAACCCATTATTAGCTCTGGAAAAAAAATATATAGAAAGGACAATTTGCATAATATAAACCATTGAGGAAGAAGGCATAAATTGTGCTCCAGCACCTCATTATAAATGCCCCATAAACTCTACCTAAGAAACCAATATCAAACCAATTTTCACCCCATTAACCAATCTTCTCAGTGTTGCTATCATCGGAGGGCCATTTCACTGTTTCTATGAGCCGTTCCCTCATCAATTCTAAGTTCTGATCAGAGATTGCTTGATACGTTTCAGCATGGTTGTACTTCTGAGAAATAAATAAATCCGGGAAACAAAATGATTGTAGTTATTGAACATACCGAAGGACCATAAGTATTGTAGAAAATGATACTCCTCTGCCAAGTTCACCATCCAAATAAAATGGGTAATGGAATGAGAGTGGACCACATTTGTTTCATGTCCTGTTCCAGTGGACCCACTCTATCTCCACTCCATCACCCTCATTTCATTCGTGGATGGTGATGAGCCCAATAGATAGGTTTCCATAATCCATATGATAAAAGCATACTTCTCATTAGTATCAGAGTAGGGGAAATAAATTGCAAAGTAGTATGCACAAAAAAACTGAAACTAGTATTCAGCAATAAAAATAAATAATTGTTAAATATATTGTAATGAAGAAAATAAGAGAGGGACAGGAAGCAGCTCATTTGCATGTACCTTGACCCATTTACCATAAAGGTGAAGACGTGTAACCATCACTCTTTCTGCCAGCTCTTGTTGCTCCTGCACATGTGACATTCTTAATATAACAGTTTTTAAAAAAAAATTGAGATAGCAGTGTTTTTGGCCAATAAAAGACTACCCTACTCAATAGCAAGATTTGAAACTTTTGATTAAGGAATGACCAGGGTCCAATTCAATGTTTCATATATTGCCCCAAATCAGTTTTATTTCTCAAAAATGTTATGAGTTATGACTAGAAAATTTTGCAGAAATTCAGTTGAATCTCATATTTTAATGTTAAAAAAACACACCATATGTATATTTTTCTTCCGAAAAGAAAAAGAATTAGAAATTCCATTTGAACATCAAAATAAATTGTGCTAAAGAATATCCCCAATTTCAACCAAAAAAAGAAACAAGGGTGAAAGTTACAAAATTGACATGTTGGCTGAGTTTCTACCTATGGCTGTGAAATTGAAAGAGGATAGAGATCATAGACTCTCAAACTTTACCTTTCCAAGGGAACGGATGAAACGCTTTCCATCACCAGGCTTGTTTGTTGCAACAAAACTGAAAAAACATAAACATGGAGATCAGGAAACATGAAAATAAACATTCCATGTGCGTGCAGCTTTTAAAAGATAGAAGTTTTGATGACAGAGAAATGTGTTACTTGCCAAAAAATTAGAGGTAGAAAAATGACGGTACACCTCCAATAACCAGGTGATGAGCACTTAAAAGCTAAAAACTTAGTTATAAATGCTTCTGTGAGAAATCAGGACCAATGGGTGCCTACAGCTAATAACATTGGAAATATTTTTCTTCGATGGATTCCATATTTAGCATACCATAAATACTTCTACAATATATTTGATCATATTAAGCCTCTGTGCAAAAACCTACAGGCTGTTTTTAATTTTGACCAAGTTCCCTTGACGCATGGATCGTGAAGAAGACAAAAAACCACGTTGAAATCAAATGACATGAAGAAGACAAAAAACCACGTTGAAATCAAATGGCAAGAGAAAGCATGAGAAAACCTGCAGAAATTTTTATTGATAAAAAATCCATATAACCCCCCCCCGCCTCCCTCTCTCTCTCT